AACTGTTATGGCATTTGCTTTTGCTGTTTTAAAGCACTAGAAGAATTCTAAAGCACAAAGGCAAACCAATTCCCAGACTCTTTTGAGAATCAATGAAATTGAGGCACATGCCATTTATGCTCTTGAAAAGTCTCCTTCCCTTGAGATTTCCATTTGATATTTCAGCTTAAACCAGTGTACCTTTACCACAGACATTTTGCAGCTGGTAAGGGCTCTGATTCACAAATAAGGGTGATTTAAGCTCTGATAACTGGAAAAGAGCTCTCCTTCCACAATTCTCCCTGTGTCAAGTGCTTCTCCCTTGGGAATGGATGAACAGCAGGTTTATCTCTTCCCTTACCAATTTCAATACTGAAAATTAGTGCAAAGAGACATGAATTTTACTTCATACTAGTACAATGGGTTGAAAGCTGCAGGTGCTTGGAGACACCTACGCAGGCTGTGGGCTTGCAGAGCAGTAACCACCAGGTGCAGAAAAGCTTCAGCTTAATCCACTGCTACAAGAAAGCAAACATCGTCCTTTTGGTAAAATAGGACCTGCTTTGGATCAGCTTTTGATTTTAAAGGGTTTGGGATACATCTTGCTAGACCTGAGCAGACAGGCTTTGCTGAAAAAGGGTGGAGAAGAGAAAATACCTCCCTAATATCTGCTTTGAGGATCGGTTGTAGGACTGAACCATCCTCTGCATGAGGGTATGTTCTGTCCCTGGCAAGTCACACCTCCTTCCCTAAATATCTGCACTCAGGAGCCCCTGTTTCCATCAATCCTTTACAACACTATTCAGGTGGTTGTATTCTTATCTGAGCCCATCAGTGCTGAGTCCTCACAGCATCCACAGAGCTGCAATCCGTGATGCTATCATTCACCACTGCAATCAGTTGCCAAAATGCAACAATAGCCTTGAGAATATGACTAAGAACAGCCATATCACACTGGGGAAATTATGAATATTTATATGGCTCTAGGACATGAGTTCCCTTGATGATAATTTACAAATGCCTGACTCCATTTACCTCCAGCACAGGCATTTCTGTTTTACCTAGCAACGAGCAGGCAATCAGATCTGTTCAAGTCCCTTAAAGTTTCTTGGATCAGATCCTTCCTCATGTCAGGAAACAACTTCTCATTTTCACTCATTCAGGTGCCAATAATTTTCCATTATATTACTCCAGGTGTAATTACCATCATCTCAGCACCAGTGCCCATAAAGAGCCCTCAAACTGCAGGGCACATTACAAAGAGTCTGATTCAACCTCTTATAATCCTACTTTTAGCATCTTACTTATGCTCTTTGCATATAAATCAATGGGATGAATTACATGTTGCACATGATTGGGCTTGCATAATCTAGAGGTGTTGATGCCCTTTTCCTGTAACCAGTATAGACTAGGCAATTCAGAAAGCTGCCAATAATGACATTTGGAGCTGCAGTATTTAGAAACCACCCTTATCATGTAAGACTTTAGAGCTGAGAGTCACAACTTAGGATTCCATACCTAAGATGGTGCAAATGCTGTGCCCCAATACAAAAGGGCCTTAGAACAGGGACAAGTTCATAAGATGCTTAGAGGGCTGGAGAGAGTTGGGATTGTTCAGGCTGGAGAAGGCTCCAGGAAGATTATTGCTCCTTCCAGTACCTAAAGGGGCTCCAAGAGAGCTGAAGAGGGACTTTCGACAGGGCAAGGAGTCTTAGGACAAAGCAAAATGGTTTTGAACTGGAAGAAGGCAGACTCACATTAGATACTAGGAAGAAATTCTTTCATGTTTGGGTGGTGAGACACTGGAACTGGTTAAACTGTGGATGTCCATCCCTGAAACTGTTCTAGACTTTGAGCAACTTGGTGAGGGTGCTATGGTGATGGTGGGGTGTTGGAACTAGAGGATCCTTAAGATCCCTTCCTACCCAAACCATACAGGGATAGTTACCTGTAAAATTTGAACAGGCAATATGTAGGACAAAATTCAGTTTTATTTTTGTGACTGATATCCTTATTTTCACATTAGGAGAACCAAGCAGTGAAAACATCTTCAAGATTTTATATCAATTTTATCTTCCCCTTTGCACACATACACTGATGAGAGGGAATAAGTATAATCTTCCCCAACATAAGTCTCCATAACGAGTTCTAAACAATCTGCTTATTAGGTCTCATTTTATGCAGAAATAAAACAACCAGCAGTACAAGCCATGATAAAGTGTTTGCACAGAGCAGAGATAAAAGTCTTCCTCGGGTGTCATTCCCTGAATTTACTTGATCACAAGGAGCTGAACACACGCCATTTTTGAACAACAGTCCTTTCCCATAGCCCAGCAAAATTCTGCTGGATCCATACACTAAAGTGACAGGACATATCCCTCTAGTGGTGTAAACCGACATGATTCAATTACCCACTGATCAGTTAAGCCATAAGGTTTCAAGCCAACATTAAATTGTATGGAAATAGGATCCTTTGGCACAGGCAACCTGAGGCAACAGGAAACCACTCCATCAGCATGACAAGCACACTTTTAGTAATATTGAAAATAAGTATTTCAGTAGCTTTGTTTGTTTTTTGCTGTTTCAGAAGCAAGATGTTCCCTCCATAGGTTGTACAGATCAGACAAAGAAAACCCAACACCTGGACAAAGGTAGGTTTGATCCTTTAATCAGATAGACCACATTTAGATGCAAAGATGCAGAGAACTTCAGGCTATCACATTATATCCAGTGTAGTAATGGACAGAACTAGGCATAGCTCAAGGTTACAGAGGAAAAGTACTGATTTTAATACTCATTCTTGTAACACCTGAAGCAGTCAAAGTTGGTTTTGTGGAGTAAAATTTACCTCTACAAAACATTTTCAGGGGAAAAAAACACATTTATTATAATAGTTTGTGGCTGCCTCTTCAATACTTTCCTTCTGACTGAAGGATTTGTCAGAGTTCAAAAGCAGAGAACTAAGCCACAGAACAGGTCGGAAGTAAATGCATATTGTGATGGAGGATACCCCAGAAACGTGCCAAATAAAAATTCCCTAAAGACTGAAATTAAGGCCTAGCCATGAACTTTTCTTGTATTTCTGCAGAAATCAGAATGGATGACAACCTACCTTATTGGTATCTACCACAAAAAACACTTTGTTACCAGTTTTAAACCTAGTTTCATGTCTGACTTCTTTTTCTAGCTTGGTGGCAAATCTTCTCATGGCCAGCATGCACATGATGAGAAAAGAAAAAAGCACCAATATTTTTAATTATTTATTTAAAGCCAACTTGCCTACATTTTTCCACATTTTTCCATTTTTGCTCCTGGTGAGTAAATATTTTTTCTTTACTTTTTAACTATTAGTTAATATTTAAAATAGTTCATAGTTCTCTCCTTAGTTTCTGAACTGCAATTTCAAATGTTTTAATTATTTTTCTGTCAAGAACCTCTAATCTTAAAATGGTTTATCATGAGAACAAAAATCAGAGCCCTACAAACTTCCTTATTATATAAACTAAACCTGCAAAAGTCTGAAAAGCTAAAGTGCATCAAGCAGGCCAGAATCCTCCTGATTGTTTACAGCCAGTTTTATGTATCTTTATCAGTCTGGTACTCTTCCAAACCCCAATCCTGAAAGTCTAAATCTGTGGGAGTAATCTAGGTCTGAAAAATATAGGAAGACAGGTCTGCATATAAAAATCTACAGGGATTTTGATGATGTTTTGACAATTTAGTTGTATTGTCATTGCCATCACTAAAATAAATTTTATTTTAGTGCTTTACACCATGATAAAGAGTAGCAATATATGTTAGATACATTTCTACCTGATGCTGAAAGCAATTATATACAAACTGAACTTCAGAAGGCAAGATAGTCTTCATGATAGATGTATACATTCTGAAACAGCAGTATTTACAGTAGGAAAGGTCTTTGTTTAAAGTGGCATTTCTTAGCCTACAGAAGGAAAGTTGAGAAGAAATAAGATGTGGAAAAAGAAGTCTGTGTGTTTATATGCAGGTATAATAAATTCTGCCAGCCAGCAAGGTATAAGCACTGTGTGCAGCCCCCAAGGTCTGCCCAAAGCTTCTCCTCAAGCCTTTGGATTCCCTTTTGAAACACAAAACACACACAGTATTATCAGACCTTTACTGGTACACTTTATTCTTTTCCCTTGTGTCTCAAGGCTTTCCATTTTTAGATCATACTTGCCTCTGGATACCAACTCTGCTTGAGAAGCACTTTGCATATTATGGGTGTAAGTATAGTACGCATAGTAAGCATTGAGGAAACTAAATAAGGCATCAGAGGAGAGGAAAACCCCCATTTAGCAGGAAGTGCTATAAAAAAACCTCCTTCCTTCTCCCAGCCCACGAGTATGAGGAACACTTGCCTCTTCATTGCCTTCAGGAAGAAATTCTTCAATGCGAAGGTGGTGAGACACTGGCACAGGCTGCCCAGAGAAGCTGTGGATGCCCCATCCCTGGCGGTGTTCGAGGCCAGGCTGGATGGGGCTTTGAGCAACCTGGTCTAGTGGAAGGTGTCCCTGCCCATGGCAGGGGGTTGGAACTGGATGGTCCTTAAGTCCCTTACAACCCAAATCATTCTACGATGCTGTGAAGCTGTTTTTCAACAACACGAAGGCAGCACGCTGTCTCGCTCGCCTGACAAACCCTCCACGACGTCTCTAGGGAAAACCGGAGTGGAAAGCTGAGGGAAGGAGAAACCTCCTCACTGCCCGCAGACCGGCTTGTAAAGCGGGTGAGGAGAGCGCCGTGATGTTCACGTCCCGCCTCACCCTCATAGGAGCGCCGCGCGGGTTCCCTGATAGCCAAGCACGCCCCGCGCTGGTGTTGCCCCACAGACGTTCCCCATATCCACATATTTTCACCACAAGATTTTTCACCACAAGACGTTTCGCCACCCCCCTTCGCTCCGTCCGACAGGCCGCAGCCCGTCCCCATGGCGACGGCGGCTCCGCCCCGCCGGGCGGGCCCAGCGCCGGCCCCGCCCGCTCTCCCGCCGCTGCCGCTGCGCTCCGGGCCCGGCGCCCTTCTCCCTCCGCTGCCCCCGTGCCCTGGCTCCGCTCTAGCCTGGAGCGGCCGCCGCGATGGCTCCGGCCGCCGACCGGGAGGGTTACTGGGGTCCGCCGACCTCCACCCTGGAGTGGTGCGAGGAGAACTACGCTGTCTCCTACTACGTCGCCGAGTTCTGTGAGTGGCCTCTCCGGCCCCGGTCCCTGCCCCGGCCCCGGGGGCCGCGTCCCACCGCCGCCTCCTTCTCCCTTTCCGCAGCCCTTCGTGCTCTCTCCCCGCGGCGGGGGAATCCCTCCTTCTCCTTGTCCCCTCTTTCCGGAGGAGTGACTGTGCCGTTGCCCCTCAGCCAACCCTGGTGGGTGGAAATGGGTGTCTTCTACCTCGTTCCCCCAAAAATCCGAGTCGGGAGCACGGGGAGGTGTAGCCCCTCTCTCCCCAGCGCGTTGTTTGGGCCCCCGTCCCAAGCGTGTCCCTTCGGCCTGTGTCCATAGGGATGGCAGGGCTGGAGCGGGGGTGCCGCGGGCCTGCGGGGGTGGCTGGCATGGGGTGGCCCGTGAGGTGGGTCCTGGGGGTTATCACGGGAGCTGGAGTGGTTGTGTGGTACCACAGGCATGGGTGAGGAGAGGGGTTTTCGCTGGAGTCGTGCTTGGGGCGCCACGCCGTGAAGCCGCACGGGTCTGCTGCTTCGCTCCCCTTGAGGTGGAACCATCTGCCCAGCCTGGGCTGTCAAACCAAATGAAACCGATCAGGGAGAGAAAAGGTCTTTTCCTATGCAAGATACGTCTTCACACAGGGAGGACACCTTCCCCCAGGTGGTCTTTGGGGCCTCATGATGACCGTCATCAATCGGGTGGCTCTGCTGCAGGTGGTGGGAGTTCAGCGAGGCTTGAAGAGTCGCTCTGTTGCACGTGGCTATCTTTTGGGATAGCTCAGAGCCCTGCAAGAAAGCAGACCAGTGGTTTGACCTCGAAACTCTGTTATGCAGAAACAGTCAGGATTTAACATGTTTTAGGGAAAGAAAGAAGGAGTTTCAACTACGGCATCATTCATCAGATGCTTGAGAAAGGAGTGTCTTGCAAGTGATAAAAGATCAAGCCCTATATGTCACTGAGGTTTTCTGGAAAAACTAAATATTTTGTATCCTGAGCAGTGACTTTAAAGGGTGTAGTAGTTATAATTATGTGCTGCTGCCTGGCAGACGCCTTGTACTACAAGAAACTTTCACACGTATAAGGTAGGTAGCTGCCTTTGGAGTGTTAGAGCCCTGGGTGCTAAAGTGACCAGGCTCACCTACCCTGAAGTGATTGAAGTGGGCTATCTGTAGAGGCCTTTCACATAGCTGGGATGCTTCAGCAGCAGTTTGGAAGAGCTTGGCATGCAGGAGACGGAGGGTTCTGGGTATACATGCCAGGCTGTGACTTCTGGTTGCAAACACTGACATGGGTGAGGATCCAAAATGAATAATTGTGAAAGAGGCATCAGAGTGTAGGAATAGGAAGGAGAACAGGATCTGAAATGAACAATGGCAGCATAAGCAGCTTAGGAGCTCAGAGGAAAAAGGAAGTTGGTGTGTAGATTTATGGCTGAGAAGAGGCAGGTTGGCTGAAAAGGAAACAAAATTAAATACTCTTTAAAGGGGACAGAGTTAAAAGTTTAAATAGAATGAGACTTTTACAGAGTGTGTATTTTTGTGCTTTCCTTGTGAGATAATTCTCATAGGGAAGAGGAAGTTCTATTGCTTCACTAATGTAAAAATAAATTTGGCTAGCATGTAAATTTTTAAAATAATCCCTGCATTGTTGGCCTTGTTAAGTGATACTTTTTGTCTACTTTTGGATTATTCAGGAGAAGGAAGATGAGGATAAGAGTAATGGGAGGCAGAAAGACTTGTGTTCTGAAGAAAAAGGGAGTAATTATACAAGGTCTGGTCCCTCCTTATGATTTTGGTGTTTGGGACCACGGTTTGTTGGTCTGTCAATTGCACTGAAAAAAACTGTATATAGGGGCTGTGCTGTAAGATAAAGCATTTAAATGGTCTAAGTGTAAAATGCAAAACAGTAAGTAAGCCTGCTGTGGTGTATGGATAGCTTAACAGCAGCTAATTTCAGTCCAGATGCCAAGATGGGTTAGATTTTCTTCAGCAGTGGTTCTGTAACAGTGTTTTCAGGGTCTGAGGCAGTAAGTGTTGTGGGGATATTATTTGAAGTTTTACCTTACAGAAGAGTGAAAATCAGTTTATCACTTGGTATCACTCAGGTAAAGCTGATTGTATGTAAATTTTTTGCATTAAGTGTTTGTTATTAATAATTTATAAGAAACTTTGGAGGCCCAAAAATCGAAGAATACTGGCAGGTCAAAAGCCAGTAGGTTGCAGGCTGAGGAACCAAACAGAAAGCTTGTTGTGCAAATTTCTTTTTTGTGCAGTTTAGCATTTGGTTTTAACATGCTACTTTTAGTACAAAATTGCTACATTGTGTTCTAAAAGCCCACATGCAGTTCCTTGCCATTTGCTCCTTAAAGAACTAGTGTAAATTACATTTTATCAATTGTATGTAGTGAGAGATGTTGAAGGGAAGATGGTGGTGTAGCTCTTCATACTTGCATTCCCTTGATGTATCCCAAACACAATGTCATGTATTCAAAAGTTCACTTTTTTTTATAATGAAAATATTTTTTCTTGCCTTTCTGAGTCTGCATCTAGTCAGTTTTTCTCCCCTGTGGAGGTGGATGACTAACTGCTCTACATCCGTCTGTAGAATATTAAACCAATTGAAATGGTAAACCAGTTGAAAAGAATTGTTTTGTGAGCTTAACTCTATTAAGCCTTAAAATGAGTCTTACATCCCTCACTGATCAAACCTATTGTATGGTGTAGTAATTCCTTTTTCAGGATTTCTCACTGATTGACTCCTATGTGCTGAAGGGCAAGTAGTAGACATGTTGGGGTTTTTTTTCCTCCTTTTAAGCTAAACCTTTCTAGGTCCCAGTGCTTGAAAGCTGAATTACCCAAGCTTTGTACACTTGATTGAGAAAAATAGTAAAAGATAAACCCACCATCTTCCCACATAAGCAAATAGAAAAAGAGCAAATATAAATTCTGGTTTTTAGCACTTACCATTCAAATGTTACAGCTTACTCTAATTTTAGCAGGGTTGGTGTTTTGGGCCAGTTTAGGCCACATAACATTGAGTTTTAGAGGTCTGTTTTGACATGAATGTGTATGACAGGAGCCTTACCCTTCTTGCATTCAGTCATCCCTGTAAGAAGAGTTTCTCTTTTAGAATATAAATGAATATAACTAATCTTCACATATCCACTTTGTTGAAAGCATGTAGAGTATACCAATTCAAACAAATACTTTAGATTCAAAGGAGCCCTGTGTGGTACATGAGGGTTTATCATTCAGTCAGGAAAATTGTGGGGGAGAATTTGTTGTTTTTATCAACAGAATGTTGTGTTCCAGTTTGGATCAAACTTGAGTCATGTTTCCAGTTATGCTGCTTTGAGCTAACATTGTCCACAAGTAATACGCATCATCTACAGCATGACTGTTTTAGAGATAGTATATCCTTATGCTGGCATTTACAGCAGCAGGCATCTAGAATATTGCTTCAGGCTTTTCAAGGAATTGGTGAAATTGTTTCTTTCTCGGCTTCTGGTCTTGTCTTAGCATGTTCTGATATCTTTGTATAAGAAAATATTTATTATTATTATTATTATTATTATTATTATTATTATTTTTATTATCATTACCAGAGTTAAATCCATTAGTTTTTGTTTTCATTAGAGATCTGGTAAGTGACTTCTTGTAACTGGGAATTCCTTATGGGACTCTTGTTTAGGTAAAAATCCCACCCATGTAATGAGAATCTGCCCATGTATCTGGCTATTTTTGTTCCATTTCCTTAAAGCCTTCTGATTTTTGCCTCACACAAGAGATTGAGATAAGATTATTGTTACTTGTCTTGTTCAGTGTAAAATATCTCATTATCTCTCATCTTGGATGGTAGAGAGTGCTGTCCAAGCATTCTCTACATTGTGAACTGTGACACAGAAATACTGTTGTTTCTTTTTAGGCATTGCTTGAAAGGACAGCTGCCAAAGATGCACAGATCCCTATTTTCTGTGGGGATCATTACTTTAAAGCATAAAAACTTGCAAAATTTACTTAAACTTAGAATAATATCATTAATGTTGAATTTGTACTGCCACGTATGGATTGTCACTTGTTCCTCGTGGGTGTCCTGTTGCATTTTGCCTTTTTTTGCCAGAGGCTTTGGAAAGCAGCCAGAGACTGTTGGGCTAGGTACTCTCTATGTGAGAGTAAGAAAACTAAAATAAAGCCAACTGTCTGCCTCCAAGAACTCTGCAGTTCTTTCAGTGATAAAGTGGCAGATGAAGGAAACATCAAGTTTAATTGGGTGTGATCAGCCCAACTGCCTGCCTGGCTGAGATGGAGCGATTTAAAGATGACATGACACAGATGAGTTCTAAAGAGTGGTTTAACAGAAAAAAAGTCACAGACCTGTAGACTTGAAGACTGAAAGGGATTTGAGTGAGTAAATTTAATGACCTCATTGGAGAAAACCACATCACAACTTTCCTCTGGAAATTTATCTGGCTTCTTGAGGGAGCGCCCTCAACTTAGGGGACACTGCAAGCAAAAAGGTAAAGGAAGCATTAAACTAATTGATGGTGAGTGTAAAGTCAAGTGGAGTGTGCAGAACAGTGCTCAGCTGTGTGGTGCATTTTAGGATGAGCACTTCTAGCTTGCTTTTTGTGCTGCAGACAAAAAGAAGTTGAAAGAGGGGTTCCCTTCTCCAAAGAGTAATATAGCAGAAGCAAAATCATAAGCCAGATGGTCTCTTCTGTCATGTTTTTTTTTATTTCTTTCTGTTTGATTTTGAATGAGTGGCAAATACTGTTGCATTAATTTATTTCTTTTCCTAGGCTGTAAAAGTACTTCTTGGCTTAAGTCTAAAGATAGTCTTGTAACACTGTTTTGATGCATTTTGCGTCACTAATGATTTATATATTATTTTTAATTCTTCCTTGCTTTTTATCTTCCATTCATGATGCAACTATACCTTTTATCTCTTGACAGTTCAATTTTCAGTTTCCCCACCAACCTTCATTGAAAGATGGGGTCGAAGGCCCTGGGAAAGTTGATTTCTCCA